GGGGTCCTTTCCAGCCCTAATGTCTATGAAATCTATGAAATCAGGCACACTGGCAGCAACTCAAGTCTGTTGTCCAAGACTCATGCACCCAGACTGTTGGGTTTGCATCACAATGAAACCAGGACTGGTTCAATACCAATGATGCTCAGAACTGTGATCTCCTCAAGTGGAAGCATGTAGCTTTCATCGCCTGGCAAAGCCATCCACGAACTCGATGAAGCATGGCAGTGTACCACCAGCTGAAGGCTGAGGTCTAGTGACACATCCGTGACATGAAGAACAGCTGGTGTGTAGAGAAGGCATGCGTGATCCAGGATGTGTAACTTCTTCCAGGCTACCAAGATAACCTATGTACCCTACTCCATTGGACAAAACCTCCTCCAATCACAGGATGGCTCCTGGCTCTTCAAGAATGATGACACCATCAGTCTGTATTGGAAGGAGCATTGGAGGGAGTCCACTGTAACAGAGGAGACCTTCCAAGCCATCCCGCAATGCCCTGTGGTGGATTTCCTTGGTGATTCGCCAACCATCGGAGAGCTGAAATGGGCCATCCAACAGATGAAAACCAACAAAGCCTGCAGGCCAGATGGTATACCCACAGATGTCTACCATGCTGGTGGCTTCTGGTTCACATCATGTCTCCACCAGCTTGTCCTCCACCTTTGGGACAAAGACAACATCCCCAGTGATCTCAAGAACCTGACCGTCATGACCATCTACAAGAAGGGGGAATCTGACTGTGGGAACTACAGGGGATTTCCCTCCTGTCTATTGTGAGTCAGATCCTGGCCTGCATCCTCCTGAACTGCCTTTGTCTTGTTGCTGAGGAGATCATTCTGGAAATCTGGTGCGGCTTCTGACCATCCCAGGGCACTATGGACATGGTTTTCATTGCCAGGCAGATCCAAGAAAAATGTCAGAAGCAAAATCAAGAACTGCTCCTTGCCTTCATTGACCTGACCAAGGCATTCAGTTCCTTAAACCATGAAGCTCTGTGGACTGCCCACTGAAGTTTGTCACCATGCTGAGACTTGTGCGTGATGATATGACCGCAGCCATCCTGAGTGAAAGATCTGAAACTGATGCCTTCCGCATCCAGACCAGGGTCAAACAAGGTTGCGTCATCGCCCCCACCCTGTTCGCCATC